TGTTGTACCATGTGTAGATAAATAGGCCATTAGGCAGTGTGTGGCTAAGGTTGTCCTTTGACAGAATAATTTTGGTATCCAGTTGGTCTCCGTTTCGATATGTCCACTTTGTTGAGTCCGACTATGGGTCTTTCGCTTCCGGATTAGCTTTTTGCATGTGTTTGTGTTGTGTCACCTTATGTTATTATTGTATTAAAGGTTGTATGGGATGAACTTGCGTTGTTAGCCAATGTATGGCTTGTGTATGTTCAGAAATATGTATAAATTATGTGCCAAGGGGTAGTTTACATGTATTTGAATTTAAATTATATTATGAATATGTTATTGTGGAAAACCCTTGGCTATATGTTATATGTTCTACTTTGATTTGAATTTCTAAAGCTTTCTCGGGTCATGTGGGCTTTGCTTGCTTGGCTCGTGTGCCAAGCACGGCTTTTTAGTTTGGGTCATGACATTGACGAAGGGAGTTTAGATTAGGCCATGAATGGATTAGTGTATGTTCAAATTCACTTAGATGATTGGGTGATTTGATTTATATATAGGATAGACATATACCTATGTGTCTCATGTAGCCAATATTTGAGCACAAACTTAATGAATCTGTTTTCAATTGAATTTACATAGACATATAATAAATTAATTGTTAGAGATATTTTTATGAGCACCTGGACAGAGACATATAAATAACTTGGGACTCTGGGTTAGCAACTCAATCCATTGAAGTAAGTTTAAAGAAAGAAAGAGGATTCAAATGAAGTGTTAAGGGATATCATAATCCTAGACTTTTAATCAAGTGTTTTTTCAAGTAATTTTTGCATTTCAACTATTAGTTTTAATTTGTTAGTTTAATTTTTCTTTTAATTCATCTTTTAATTTTGACTACTGGGATAAAATTAGTTTGCTACAAGTTTAGTACTTAGCTTAAGTTGGTGCAATTCTCTGTGGGATTTGACACTCTACTTACTTCTATATTACTTGTTACGGTATGTACATTTGCATAAAGAAAATCAACAACAAGTTTTAGGAGTCATTACCGAGGAATTGTTTTTCCTTTTTTTAGCTATATTAATACTAAAACAAACTAGTCTTCGTTCAAGTTTTATTTTTCTTTATTTTAGGTATTTTCAGTCATTGTATGCAAAGAATAAGAAGTTTGGACATTTTACCTCTTGGTCTAGAAATTGAGAAAACTTTTCATAGACTTCGAAAAGAAAATTTAGGAACTTCAGCTCACACAGAACTAGTGGCTCAACAAGGGAAGTAGCAAATTCAAGAGCAATTAGTAGAAGTTCATTGATCTTTGAGAGACTATCCTATTCCGTTAGTGCAAGGACTCTAGTATCAACCCTACAAGCCAATCAGTGGTTGTATGGGTACTTTAATCTATTTATGTATGACATTTTTTATTTATAATAACATTGAGGTAGTTCTTTATTCATGAGTTTGTAATTTATTTACTATTTATTCTTATATAGGTAATGTCCATGAAACTATATATGCTTTACAAAGAAATTGTATTGAGATACAATTATGAGATCTTTATACATCAAAGCATTATTCCTAGAAGTTCCTGATCATTGTATTATTGAGACGAGTCATCAATAATGGTCAAAGATTGGCACATACTATATTCTTTACTTGTGAAGTAAGCAATCGATCTCATAGGGTGAACTATAGAGATACTTGGAACTAGCATGTGGGTGCTTGCCTTGAGAAAATAGGTTCACTTAACATGACCTATAATCAGAAATGCATTTGGTATCTCACTTTGTTGTTTATGCAAATATTTCTCATATGTTAGTTGTGTAAATACTCCTTAGACTTGAGACATCGGTTTGCCTTATATGTGGAGTGCTATATATTGGATCATATCAACACGAGTTCTATCAAGGATGCCAAAACAGGATATTGTTGGTTGTAATATTAAGCATGTGAAGGCAAATGAATGGTCCAAAAAGGAATAATCACCCCAAGTGATTTAAGGGACATATTTTAATAGTTCTTGGTTGATATTAGCTTGTTGAAGTCTTTGACTAAGGCTACTTGGAGGTTATGAAGAAAAGTTTCACAAGTCTCCATAAAGCTAATTGTGAAATCCCACATTGAGTAAGATGATAAGTTAGGAAATCTTTAGGTAAGCATATAGATTACATGTTTCGAACATGAAACTTAGATTGAACCTTCAAAAGAATTATTGACACGTTTTGTTGTCTATCACTTTTGAAGCAGAAAATTTTCTAAGTCTGGAAGGGGTCAAAATATGTCCATTTTATAGAACAATCTTTTAAAAATAAAAAATGACGGTAATGATTCCTTTAGTTTTTAGGTAATCAAAAATGATTTTTCTTTAAGTTTTGGAGCACATTTGCCAAGGTAAATGGGAATCGTAAATTTAATGTCAATCAAACTTTTTCAATTTTGTTCTTGAAAGCAAAATTTAATGTCAATCAAACTTAAATAGTTGTGTTATTGCCCAAACTTTCTGCTGGTAATTTAAGTTTAAAAGTTTTATGATTTGCTTAAGCAACTAAGCTCACCTAAGGTAAGGATGGAAGATTATGGGTTTCTAAGCGTGGGTTTTTTAGCTAGAAAATTAGTTCAACCAAAGTCCAGTACTTTCAAAAGTACCCAGAACAATTATTATGAAATTCTTATTTTAGGAAATGATTGTGATGATTGTTGTATGATAGGAACGCTTGAAAACACTATGGATAATGCTGAAAAGGAGTTGTGATTAGAGCTAGGAATCAACTCTCCAATTAGGTGAGTGGTTACACCACTTTTAAATTATTTTGATATGTAAAGTTAGCATGATTTTGATGAAAAAGATTATTTATGCATGCTGAAATTATATCTCTAAAATTGGTTATCAAAGGATTTGAGATTCTAGAATGAAAATGATTTTCTAAGAAAATAAATTGATAATGATTGTGATGTGATTTACTCAATGGATTTTCTAAAATGTTTGTGAATCTACTATGTATGTAAATACTTTACTTTGTATTAGTTTTCAACAAGGGGGGACAAGCACCTTATATTTGAAATCCACTCGATTACTTCGGTCTTTGTACTAGTGTAGGTACGAGATATTGTATACTTATTTATAGATGCTATAATGTGCATGCTGGTATAATGAATAGCATGGGATTATGTATATGATGTAAATTCCATATACCATATGAGATGATTAAGTATGCATGATGTATACTATAGAATTATGTATATGATGTAAATTTCATGTACCATATGAGGTCATTAAGTATGCATGATTAATGCCATGGGAATATGTATATGATGTATATTTCATATGCTACATGAGATGATTAAGTATGCATGATTAATGCCATGAGAATATGTATATGATGTCTATTCCATATGCTACATGAGATGATTGAGTAAGCACAAATGCCATGAGATTATGTATATGATGTAAATTCCGTATACCTTATGAGATGAGTAAGCATGCATGTGAAGGACATTCCACATACCACATGCTACG